TCTGTGTGGGGCTGGGAGAGGAGGTGTAGGTGAAGAGCAGAGGGTCCAAGTGGAGCAGACATCAGGTTATTGCAGAATTTTGGGCTGGTGCCCCTTGGTTTTTATGTGATGAAGCAGCTCTTTGTTGGTCACTGTCTCATGGTGGGGTTCCTTCTCCTCTCCCCACTGCTATTAAACGTGACCTCTGGGTTATTTATCAGTGCTTCTCCCATGGCACAGTGTGCACGTGACAAGCCTGGGAGATGCTGGGCAGCAGGAGTTTCCACTTGGTGCTCTGTTGCAAACACTGGGGGTTTGGCTGGTTAAATATTTACAGTGGTGTTGTCCCCAGGTGCCACTTCACTGGAGCAGATGTTTGTGCTGCTTGGCTTCAGACCAGCGTTAGCTTGTGGTGGCTCTTTGCTCCTCCACCAAGCCAAACCCTCAGTCTTGTCAGCTGGTGTGAAACCATGGGTTTCCTTCTGCTGGGAAATGTAAACCCAGCCTTGTGTCCCTGTGGAATACAGGTGTGGACATTGCTGAGGTCTGAACCCTCTACAGACTTCTAAGGCTTGGGCAAAGTCAGGGTTTCTGGAGCATCTGCTTGGATTCACAAGTGCAAAGCAATTGTGTAGAAAACCCAACTGGAAGTGGCATCAGTTCCTTATTGTTGTAAAAGCCTCTGTTATTGGGGTGGAGGTGCTGCAGTTGAGATGAAAACTTTTGGATTGCAGAAGCTACCATGGGTAGAAAACAAAACCAGCCATGATGTGGGAAGAAGCAAAACAAAGAATTTATCAATATCATGTCTCCAGGAGGTGTGAGAGGATTTTGCTGGAGAACTGAGCTTAAGTTGTTCTTAAATGGTTTTTATTTGCAGTAAATGCTGAAACTGAACCAGGAACTGATTCCCAGCATGTGAGGAGAAGCTGAACTGTAAAATGTGCTTTACTTTGTAATAACATCAAGAATTAACCATGCAGCTCGTCTTGATGGATGGAAACATGAATGGATCAAGTGTTTCCAACTGTCATTCAGCAAATTGTGCTGCTTGGAAATTCTGATTCAAGCTAATGTTCCAATAATATTTAATTTATAATTCATTTATGTGTTTAAGTGCATCCAGATCCTTCCTTCCGATTCATACTTTCTTATTTTGACAGTAAAAAGAATTCTAACTCTTATCACTGATGAAGCTTCCAGTTGAATTAAATTCTATTAAATTAAGGAGTTTTATTTGAATTAATAATGCTTCTTTGGTGAAGTCCAGACCTTTGTAGGGCTTCCTATTGCTGTGTCTCCTGCTTGCATTGGTGTGCTGGAGCATGGCAACACAGATAAGGACAGTAAATGTAAATACCTCCAGTGAAAAGCTGTGGTGGAGTGGAATTTGTTTGAAGCATATGTGGGACTTGGTTGCTTTGTTAGCTCCAAAAAAAAAAAAAAATTCCCTGCTGAAGGACTGAGGGTGTTTCTCTCTGGGCAGAGCTTTATTCGGAATGTTTTGTTAGGAAATCTTTTGAAGTGCCCAGAGAATTTCAACAAAATGGCTGCTTTCCTCGGGTTTGTTCCTATCTGGATATCAACAGGCTCGCTGCCCTCGGCTCCAGGCAATCCGCCTCGGCTCCGACATGTAAAATTTAATAGGAGGCTGCTGTAAGTGAGATCTGCTGTTTCAGCTTTCACCAGACACGTTTGGAGGAGAACGTGTTGGCTCTTCCTTGCTCTCTGTCCATCCCTGGCTGCTTTCTGTAGGAAAATTCATCTCTGTAAACAGAAAGCAGCCTTAGCAGGAGTGTGCTCTCGCAGCCTCGGGAATAATCCCGCCTGAGCAGCAGCAGAGCCTGTTCGTAACTAATCTGTGTGGTGTCAGTGGTAGGAAATAATCCTGTGTGCCAAACGAGGAGGCTGAACAGAGCCCCTGCCTTCCCAGTGCTGTGTAACCCAAGATTTGGACATTCCATTAGTTTTTACAGCATGAGTTTCCAGAGTGATGGCTGAAGGTTGGTGGAAAGCTGGAGTGGAACTGGTGTTGAAATAAATAGCACTTTATTTTGGTGGTGTTTTAACCCTCTGTGCCTGAGGTACAGGGCACAGCTCTCACCAGGGTGGATGCTGTGGTTCACTCCTCCAGCCCTGCTCTGGAATAACTGTGAGGGACATGTGTGCAGTCCTTGGTGGTGTGCCTGGTCTTAGACTGGAGCAATCCTTCATGTCAGAACTTTGGGCATTTGTTTTTTACTCTGATCTGCCCTTTAGTTGCCTTCCTCCCAGTCTTCTGTGCTCATTCAGCCCAGATTGTATCCCTGTTCAGGGATGAGCAAGGGCAGGGCTGTGTTAATTCTTGCCTTCTGTATCTGGGAAGCAGCCAGGGGAGGTTTGAATGCTACATCTGGGATGTGGCAGGCAGTGAAAGCAGGCAGCCCAGCTATTTCTGGTGGGAGCTTGTCATGCTGCTGGCGTTTCCTTTCTTTTTTAAAATGTTCAACCAACAGTGCTGGAGGAAGCTGGAGCCCAGCAAGCCAGGAGAAGGTGCTAGTACACAGAGTCAACAGTATAATCCTAAATAATGTCCAGTTTTGTACCCTCACCTCGCAGTGCTGGGCTACCTGGGGGCTCTGACCGAGGGGAACTTTGAGAAAGCTGCAGTGCCTGTGTGTTGGGAAAATGGAGAAGCCACAGATGAAACCCTCTTGTCCTTTCCAGCCACATTTTGGGGAGTGGTATTTGCTGGATCAGCCTTGTTCTGCTTAATAATCACTGTAGACTGTTGGAGTTTCTTATCAATGGACTGTAATTTTTCCTTCAGTGCAGGGGAAACCTTCTGTCTTTTTAAAGTCAGCCAGAGACCACTATCTCAGCTGCCTCTTAGCCTATTAAGTGATTAACAGGTATTCCCAGAAGCCTTAATAAGTGGCCAAGTGGGCTGCTGTAGTAGAAGATAGGACAAGACTTTGGGCTGATTTTAATTAAAGCTCTCTCAGTGCTTGAGAAATGAAGAAAATTGTGTTTCCCCGTACATCTGGCAGATTTCTGGGCTGAGTGAAGACTCCTGATATTGAAGGGCTGTGTGCTTTGCTATCTGAAATTCATAACTGGAGAATTACAGGGGCTGGTATCATAACCAAGATAATCTAGAGATAAGATTGGTTTATTTACTAAGGTATATTTTTATCTTTGATTAAATTGCTCCAGGAATTGTGTCTAAGTGAGCTTTTAAGAACTCCTTTAAAGTACTCCTACATAGTACAGCCAGAGTTAGAGAAAAGGTTGTGGAGATCCTCATACAAAAACATAACCTGAAAAGATCAGACACTAAACCCCTCAAGAGGCTGATGGATGAACCTTTGGGTGAAGGAGACCCTTAAATTCTCATAGAGCTTCTTGTTGGCAGGACTGACTTGAAAGAGTTGAGGTCCTTGCTCCCCTCTGCAGGGCTGGATGAGGCAGGGATGCTGGTGTTGCTGCAGGGAAGAGCTTGGCTCCCTGTCACCTGGGAGACTGGTTCAAGTATGGACCAGAACCACACTGTGACCACACAATACCCATTTCTGCTACCTCCTGCCCCATATTGTGTGGATCTGCTGTCCCAGCTGTTCATGGGGTTCCATCAGGGATCTGGTCAAGCCTTTCTATAGCTGGAAAAAAATTCTTAGTTTGACCTTAAACAATCTGGCATTAATAAGAGTCAGAACACACTGTAGAAGGAGAGGAGTGTCACTTTTTATAGTATAAACCACAAGACCGATTCTTTCTGCTTATTACACTGTCACCCAAGGGCTTTATTTCAGTGAAGGTTTTGTTGGTGGTGGTGGTGAAAGAGGCTGTCCTGCTTTCCCCTTGTGCTAATGCAGCTGTTTGTGTGGTCAGGCAATCAAATAGATTGGAGAACTGATTCCATGAAAAAAACAACGTAAAGGAAAAGAGAAGATCAGTTTCTGAGCCATTATTTGCAGCATAAAATGGCTGTAGGTTATGGGCTGGTGAGGGCAGGATGCAGGGGTAGGGTGGCATCGCTGCTGTGGGTGACAGCATTGGCTTTTGGCAGCATCAGGTTGTGGCTGTAGCTCCAGGGCTCAGGAAATCACATTGCTGGTTTATGTCCTACTTTTCAACAGCTTCAGAGCGTCCATTGAACGTTGGCCCTGAGGCAAACTTCCATTTTGGTGTCAAATGGCAAAGTACACACAGCCACTCTCAGGGCCCCCCTTCGCCTCCTTTGCATGTAAATGGTCCTAAAACTGAGCCCAGAGAGTGGATTTGGAGAGCTAAAACACAGTTCTGGGGTGTAACAGAAGCCATATGGTCTGGTGTGTTTCTCATATAATCAAACTCTTGGCTGATGGTTCAGATTTAGTTGGAATAAAAACTTGTACACGAGTGAAAATCAGCTCTTATGTTCCACCTTCCTTCTGACCTTTCTAGACTATTTATTTCCTTAGCTTTCTTTCCTCAGCTGTCCTGAGTTTTTTCTGGATTTGATGGTGCTTCAGGAACTTCTGAGGTCTTCCAAGGACTTTGTCCTCTTACACTGGCAGCCAGTTGTGTTCTGGGATGGTTTTCAACCCAAGTGTTTTGATGGTCAGGACTGAATTATTCTTGCTCTGCAAGTAGTGTGGAGATTGTGACAAAAATGGATATGATGGGTAGAAATCAGCCCTTCCTGCATTTTACAGACATCTTGGAATTGCATTGTGTGGGCATGCTGGATGTGGAGATGTTGGGACTGTGGTAGGTGCAATTAGTCTGATCCTTAAATCTTCAACCAAATTATCATTTTATATGGATTTGGATTTATATATGTATATGTGCTTGGATTTTTAGAGTTGGGTTTGGGTTTCCCTTTAAATTTGTCTGTGAAGTCCAGCTATTTCCCAGTCCATGCCAGTAAACATGTATTGTCTGAACAGATGATGTTATCAGACACCCTGGTTTTCCCTTTGCCTATTCAAAGCTCTGCCTGGTGTTCTCACTCTGGCTTGGTTACTCAGTTATTGATTGTTTTTTTCTTCTTTCTCCAGAATCCAGCGACTATCACTCGAATACTGCTTAGCCATTTCAACTGGGATAAGGAGAAGCTGATGGAGAGGTAAGCAGCTGCAGAGCTGGAAAAAATGCTTGCTCCTGGATCAAGTGAGGATGGATGAATGCACAGTGTGTGGCAGGAGAATCTTTTGTGTAAGCTCTAAATGTTCTCCCTTTCCCAGCTAAGGGTGACTCGTGACTCATTGTTTTAATGTTATTGATGCCTGGTTAGATTTAAAGTTGTGGAAGTTATGTTGCTATTGGAAAGAGGGATTTCCAGTTTGAACATGCACAGGCTTTGGGCAGGCTTTGGAAAAGAGCAAGCAGGAACAGGTTCTTGTTATCTAGCAACTGTTTTGGATTTGGGTTTAGCTGCTCATGCCTGTCATGCTGGCATGTGTATTCCTGACATGTTGATTTGCTGCTCTGGCCAAGGCTAAATAGTTCCTGGCTGATAATGGTCCTGCCTTGTCTTCATCTCCACAGCTCCAGGTTTTCTTTAGGGTGTGTAAATAATGGCTTGAATTTTGCCTCTCCCTCCCCCTCAGAGCAGAGTGTTTTATGGTTATTTCCCATCTTTGATTCCTAGCTCTTGGAATGCTGCTTGATAAAGGTACTTCTCAGTTTGTTGTTACACAGTGGAGACCAAATCCAGCTGCATTTGGTTCATTCCAATGCCAGTGTTGGTGTTGAAGAGAGTTGAGGGAGCTAGAGAATTTAAATTACTTTAGAAACTGGGAGGAGGATTAATCTGGACCAAAAGGAGCAGTAAAAGCTGTACAGGGACTTGTGCTGGTCTTACTTGGTGTGGAGTGACCAGTGGGTGTGGAGGGCCTGCTAGGATCATTAGTCTGACTTTTCCCTTAATTACCATTTCCTTTGCCTGATAATCAGGGTATGGGAAGATGAGATGTGCTTGGTAAGCCAGGAGCAGTTGCTGGTGCTCCTATGAATTGATAAATGTCTCTTCACTGACCCTGGGGCTGAGCCCCTGTAGTTTGGTACTTTGTCACCCAGGGAAAGAGAAGCAAAGGTTTTCACACTGTTAGTAATTATTTTAGAGTATAAATATTTGTGCTCTCCTTGGCTAATGGATTTAGGACATCATTAGTGCCCTTTGTGTAATGTTTTTGGTTAGTGATGGTGCTCAGGTATCTCTTCTATTTTGTTTAACCTAGTTTTGTGGTGTTTTTTCTGAAGTGATTGTAATTTTTTACAGCTTTCTAGTCCTTATTTTCCTGAGATTGACCTCTTTTAGTAAATGTTGGAAGTCTGAAAACTTTGTGTTACAAATATATCCACTATTTAACTACAGCTGTTAAGAATTCTGATTCAGTACCTGCTCTGCAACATGTCTGCTCACTTGGTATTTGAGTTTCTTGGGCTGGTTCTCCTGGCTGGGGTAAAGTTCACTCCTTGCCTGGGAGATACCTCTACACGAGTGCACTGAAAAGCCATCCCTTTGTACAGCAGGTTTTGTCCCTTGTTGTTGAAAGCTTGTTTAGGACTGCCATCAATTTAAAAATAAAAAATTGGGCTGTGGTTTTGTTTTTGTTTTTTTTTCTCTCAAGGGAGGTGCCAGCCAGGTCAGTGTGAGGTATTATTGTTAAGGCTTTTACAGTTTAAGTACATGTTATATTTACAAATCCACAGGTAAACATATTCATTAAATACTTAACTCAGCAGGATTACCCCTGTGAATAATAGAATACATGACTTGCTTAGGCAGACCTGTTGTACACTGGTCCCAGTTTTGGTGCTTATTGATGTCCTGTTGTGTGAGAAAAACACCAGAACAGGATCTCTCCAGTGCCTGGTGCTGCCTTCTGACACTTCTGCACCAAATAACTTCCATGAAATCTCCTGGAGTGCTCAGCTGTGTTAAAGCAGGAGTAGGAGGCTGAGTGCAGGCTCTTGCTGTTCAAGAGGGCTTGGTCATTGCTGTGGTGATAGGTGAGGATTAAGGGAAAAAAACCCCCAAAATATACATTTTGCTGGAAAGTTCCTGTTGTTTGATGGTGTATTTGCAGTTCCTAATCAGTGCCTGTTTTCTCTTAGCTCATGGTGAGTCAGCACGACCTCCCAGCAGCCTTATCAGACCTGGCCTGGAGGAAGGCACTTCAACCAAGTGGCTTCTCTTTTTTTGATAAGTGGGGAGGTCTGAGCTTGTGACATGAACATTTCTCTGTTTTCCCACTTTTTTTTAGTGTTGTTTTGGCTGTTTTTAATGAGCAGGTTGTTACTGTCTGTGCCAGCTTTGTCATGGAGTAATTACACAGTGCTGGTGTTCAGAGGGCAGATGTGCTACAGATATTTATTCCACTTACAGTAAAGTAATAACAGCCACAATTTAAAAACTGCCCTGTCCCACTGGTGAAACTCTTAATTGTTTGTGTGCAAAAGCAAAATTGGAGGTTTGGGGTGGGTTTGTTTGTAGGATGGAAGTGATGAGTGGAGGAAATACTAGTTCAGCCTCTGATATGCTGCATGTGTTCAGGAGAATAAAGATGTCAAATATTATTTTCCTGGGTCTTGCAGGTGTGATTCATAGGGATAGGAGAGCACCAGGTGCAGAATGACCACATCACCTCAGAACCAAGTGAAGAAAGTGCTTTAGCTTGAACCTTACCTTTTATTACCTTCCAATTTTGCTATGGCTGATGGTGTCCTCCCCTGAGGGGAGTTTGGGGGATGAACCTCTGTGATGAAGAGGTTAAAATGCAGCTCTCCTGCTTTAGGTGCCTTCTCCTGGTCATTTTGTTAAGAGAAAAGGGTCTCAGCATGTCTCCAAGGCCCAATTTAACCCCTGCAGGCACAGCCAGAGATCCAGCAGTCCCCTGTAGCTGCTTCTCTTGGTGGCTACATGTCCCTGCTCCCTCTGAGCAGAGCAGGGATGTCAGGAATGACCACATTGCCTCTTCTCCAGAACCTGGCTGCCTGCTTTCCCTGGAACAAATAAATACTTTCCACTCTTCAGCAGAGGCCGAACAGGTGAAAAATGGTGCATGGCAGCAGTTTTGATGTGGAGATATCTTTTACTGTGTGTGTTTTGATGTACTGACACTCACAAATGCTCTTCCATGGAAGTAAATATCCCAAAATGTGTACTAGAAGCAATTTTTTTTCAGTGAAAAGGCTTTTTATCTTTGATACTCCCATGGGTAGGATTTGATTATGTCTGGAAAATGGAGATTAGGCAGTTACAAACAGCAGGAGGGAATTTTGAGGAGATCAAGGGGCTGACAGCTTGATCCCTCTGCCAGAAAGACTTGGTGTTGTTACAGGTTTGGTCTTGGTAAGTAGAAACATTTGAAAATAATGGACAAACACTGGTTTGTCCATAGCAGAAAACTCCCCAACTTTGTGATGAAGCAAATGAACTTCGAAGAATTAATAGAGGAAATTCTCGTGCACCAGAAGAGCTGGAATTACTCAGTATCTGCATTTTGAAGGGAAAGCAGGACACAGGATCTAAAGGGCTGTTGAAGGTGCTGTGCTCCTCCCTAGGATGAAAATAAGGATGGAGGTACCAAGAACCAACCCTTTAATAGAGAGGATTTGAGGGAAAAACAGAATTCTTGGAGTTGTAAAGGAAGTGAGGAGGAATGCTGACATGGAGGAGAGCTGGAGCAATTCTTTGCAATGCATTAGGTGAGATTTGGAGGAGAAACCTAAGTGAAATTGTATGAGATCAAGGTCAGATCAGGACTGGGACTGCATGTGTTTTGGCCTTCTTGGCTTAAAGGAGGATGAGTGGAAATGGGAATTGGTGGTAAAGAAGGTTTGCTGGCCAAGGAATTTGGTGGATGTCACATGGAGCTCACCTGCTGTGGGAGGGAAGGGTGTTAGAGCTGCTGCCTGGGAATCCTTTGACCAGAGAACATGGGAAAGGCAAAGGGAGATCTTCCTGCATGGTTGATCTGTGGTGATGCTGGAAAAAAGTGGGGAAAAGGGATGGTAATTGGAATTAGGTGCTGTTCCTAACCTTGGAAGGAACTGCAAGAGTCTTCTGACTGAGCCCTTGGCATGTTTGCCTGAGGAGTGGTGGAGCAGTTGGACTTTGGAGTATCCATTGGAGCTGTGTGTTTTCAGTGAGAGATCCACTCTCTAAAAATGCAGTTTTCCTCTGCATTTTCTGGAGTTCTTACAGCCCAGTGGCTGCATGAGTATGAGTCTGAGAGACATACCTAAAAATAAATGTGGAAATTACTTAGAAACAAAATGCATGAAAAGAAAACAGCATGGAGAAGCAGGAGTACTATCCATAGGCATTTAAAGGGGATAGGTAATTCCAGGTGAAAAAAGTCAAGTTCCTGATGTGGATATTCACTCTTAAAACCAGCCCACCACTACAAAAACCTGGTATTTCCATAAGCATTTAGCTGGTCATGAGTATCAGGGTTCAAGTTGCATCATAGCATTTGTATACAAAACTATTTTCCTTGCAAACTTCACACCCAGCTGTGTTTCTGCTCTCCTCAGAGCATGTCCTGTGCTGCTCCTGCTGCCTCTAAGAGCAGTTGGAAGGCTGGAAAACTTTTGTGGATTTAATATTTATCCATGATTCTTAAGAAACAAATACTGCCTGTAATGGGACTGCACTGAATTCACTTGGTAAAATGTTATAAATATATAATTTTATATATTTAGATTTAAATATAACATATAAATCTCTAAATAAAATCCTCTAAGTAAACAAAAGAACTTGGTTGAGTAAAATCCTGAGCTAACATTGCAGAACAGTGGCAAAGCCTCGTGGATGCTGTGATGCCAGCATCACACTTCCTTCCAGATTCAGTGTCTTGAAATTTAAAATCCAGAATACATGATTTGCATTGAGAAACATATGAAACAGCAGGAAAATTGATATTTTTTCAATTATAAATCAAGCCTTGTTGGTAGGTAGAGCTGTAATGGAGCAGGGGAATGACATACTGGGTTTGGCTGGGGGATGTGTGCATGTGATGGGGCTGGTTAATTGTCTGGTTTAATTAGTTCTTTGCAGCTGCTGCGGGCTGGAGAAAGGTGTGTGGAGGATTCTGGGAAGAGGCTGAGCTTTCTGATAATGATTCTCTCCAGTTTGGTCCTCCTCTCCAAGGAAGAGCTTTTTATCAGTCTTTAAAGCAAACCAATATTCTTTTCCTTAAGGGAACAGGAAATAGAAAGGAAGTGATCTTTTTTTCACCCCCCCCAAGCAATTTTGCATCCTCCTTTCCAATAGGTACCTGATCTTTGGAAGCATTGTAAACATGGAACTGTATTTTTTAGGAAGCTGTTAAATTACCTCAGGTTGATTGAGGAGAAAAGACACTCAAATGGCTAAGGGTCAGAATATTAGGAAAAATGGAAGGCTTCACTTGAAAATAATTGAGCTTGAAGGCATCAGACCTGTGCTTTAGGAAGGTGCTCCAATGGCTGAACTGTGAACTCAGGTGTTCTTGCTCTAGTTTCCTGTCCTGGAATTCTAATGCAAAGCATTTGGGAGAGTCACAAATGACTTGAAATGCAGCTGAAGAATTGAAGGTGCCTGAATTTCAGGAGTGTGTAATTCAAGTGAGAGTCTCTGAAATTCTGTCATTGTCCAATATCTGTGTTGTGTTAGAGAAGGGTTTGTTGGAAGTAGTGGGTGTGTATGAGTTTTGAAATACAAAAAGCATCTTTGTCCACTTAACTGCTACATAGAATGGAAATATAATTTAAAAGATGGTTAAATTTTCATTCTGTCCTGTGTTGTGCAGGTACTTTGATGGCAACTTGGAGAAGCTCTTTGCAGAGTGTCACGTAATTAATCCAAGTAAAAAGTCGCGAACGCGCCAGATGAACACCAGATCATCAGCCCAGGACATGTCCTGTCAGATCTGCTATCTGAACTACCCAAACTCCGTGAGTACCCAGTGGCCTGTCAGTTTCTTGAGGTTGGGATTGAAGGTAGTTTGAGATGGTAGTTCATGTTTGGACTCAGGTGTTTTATTATTTCTTATCAGATAAACAGCCTCACAACCATGAGTTCAGCAGCGTTTCATTAACAAGGCATAAAATGTTTATCTTTTGTTACAAGGTCTTTTAAGACTAAACTATCCAATTAAGAAATGACACCTAGATTACTTTCCCTTTTAACACAGTAACTGATCCCTCAAAGCCTGCAATGTGGACTTTTCTGTCCAATTACAAAACATCACCCAAACCCATGAAGAAGAACAACCTGCGTCTGGCCTACAACCTCCATCTTGCTTCATATTTATTTCTATATTCTAAAACCCCAAACTCTGAGTTTTCCACCCTGTAATGTTACACACTTCTAACCAATTACACGCCCGTAATCTCAGTGCTATCAATCAATTTTGGAAATCTTCTCCACAGCCTCAGGTCAAATGTAGTGCTCTTTTGAGGGTCTGTACCTTTAAGCCCAGAAAGTTTAAAATTCTCAGCAAGCTCTCATACCTGAGCAGCAAGTCCCCAAATTTCCAACCTCAAACTTCATGTTTTCCTGCACACCACCTGTGAGGGTGCTGGGGCCCGGGCAGCGGTGTGGTAAGTTCAGGACAAAGCAAGCAGGTGATGTTTGCAAAGGTCTGATACCAAGTGAGGTGTACAGATAAAGGATGTGTGACATTAAAAATCTGTGAAAAGCATGATGGGCAAAGGGATTTACTTAAATAGACAAAGTAGCAAAGATCTTTTAAAAGCAAAATAGTCAAACTAGGAAGTCTAGAAAAAAGCAGTAGAAGTAAAATGTGGATATCTTTGGATCTTTATTATATTTGACAATACCCTCTTGGTCAGATATGAGGGTGTGTTACCCGGTGCTTGCTGGGGCCCTGCATCAGTGCCCTGGGTGATAGTGCTACTTCCTTTGGTCACTGTTGACTGTCAACATACCCTGCTCAGAGGTGCAGGCTCTGCTGGGGCTCCCTGGGGCAGGACATACTGTTGGGAGACCTGGGAGAAAAGGAGGTGAGTGGAAAAGCTCAAATAGGAGAGTTCATCAGCAGTCAAAGTGCTGATAGTAAGGAATTCTACCTTTATTGGAACCTGTTCTTTGTGGGGGAGCTGCCCTTCCAGAACACCCTAAAACAAGTGCTGGGCCTTTCCAGGCAAAGCTGCCCTGACATGAGGCTTTGCTCTTGCTCTGGATGTGTTTTAATCAAGGAACCATGATGAGCTTTGGGGTTCAGGAAGGTGAAGTTCCCTGGTTGTGCCCTCCCCTTGCTCTGGATCTTCTCCCCTGGAGTGGACAGAGCTGAGCCAAGCCCAGCTTCAGGCTCCCATTCTCAGCATTAAGGTCCCTGTTGCTCTTCAGCCAGGAACCACAAGGCTTCACGTGTCTCCTCTTGTGTGCCCTGACTTCCTTCTTGTGAAGAGTAGCTGGGAAGGCAAATTCCTGCTCTGTATGATGAGGTGCTTTGAGAAAGAAAGGCAATTTTAGCATAATTGCTGTGCTGGGTGGGGGTACAACTCACAAGTGACAGGCCTGTCCTCTGGCTGGGGGTGCTGTGCCACCTGGGAAGCAGAATCTTAGAATCATGGGACAGACCCACAAGGATCATCAAGTCCAGCTCCTGGCCCTGCACAGGACAGCCTCTAAAATCACACCCAGCATTGTCTGGAGTTTTGACACTGGAAAGAACAGCACAAACCTTGCTAACACTTCCTGATTTTGTAGCTCAAATACCAGTGGCCCAGTTGTTAGAAGAGCAGGTTTTTAGCTGGAGGATTCTCAGCATTAAGGTCCCTGTTGCTCTTCAGCCAGGAACCACAAGGCTTCACGTGTCTCCTCTTGTGTGCCCTGACTTCCTTCTTGTGAAGAGTAGCTGGGAAGGCAAATTCCTGCTCTGTATGATGAGGTGCTTTGAGAAAGAAAGGCAATTTTAGCATAATTGCTGTGCTGGGTGGGGGTACAACTCACAAGTGACAGGCCTGTCCTCTGGCTGGGGGTGCTGTGCCACCTGGGAAGCAGAATCTTAGAATCATGGGACAGACCCACAAGGATCATCAAGTCCAGCTCCTGGCCCTGCACAGGACAGCCTCTAAAATCACACCCAGCATTGTCTGGAGTTTTGACACTGGAAAGAACAGCACAAACCTTGCTAACACTTCCTGATTTTGTAGCTCAAATACCAGTGGCCCAGTTGTTAGAAGAGCAGGTTTTTTGCAGCGGCTACTGCTGACCTCTGATCCTCTGACAGTTTTTAGCTGGAGCAGAGAGATGTTGCAGGTGAGCAGGGCTTTCTCTGTTGCTGGTGTTAGAAGACATCAGAGGGGACTCTCTTTGCTCTACAGAAAAGCTGGAGCCTATAGGAAAACTAGTATTTATTATTTCTTCTGTAAAAGGCTATAGTGTCTGTGTCTAAGGTAATTGAAATCTGTTTTGAACCTCTTTTAGTCGGTGTGAATTATAAATTCTAGGATTATTTTCATGTTCAATGCCCAGCTTAAAATCTCAGCTTGGAAAATCGTCTTGCAATAATTAGCTAATTATTTTTCCACATGAAAGCTGGGGGGGGTTTTGCACTGAGAGCCCCTTTCAGTCTATGGAAAGCTGAGAGTTTGGAGGTGTTAAGAAGTTTTACAGTGCAACAGTTGTTGCAGGAATGTTAGTCTTGAAAATCTCAAGTACACCAGACAGCATCTACGAAGTCTCTGTAGCTCTTCAGTCATCTCCAAAGAGCTGTGGTTTGAAGTTTTGGGAAGCACCTGCCAAATAAAGCATTTGAAGCTCTCACCCTGCAAGTTTGAGGGTTTAAGGGAGATGTTTCCCCTGCTCTGTGTCCCTGTCAAGCACTGTCAGGTCCCAGCAGTGCTTTTGGGTGACACCTTTATTAGGAAGACAGGAATTGGGAGGGTCGTGGCTTTGCCTTCCTCCTCTCTTGCCCCTCACCCTCAGGAGAGTGGGCTGGGGGTGTTTTTGGGAACATCCTGCTTTGTCCAGACTGTAGATGTTGAGCACAGATGTGGTGACAGCAGAGCTGTCCCCTGGGCTGTTGAGCTGCCTAAGGAGTTACTGCTCCCCCATCCTTGGTGGTTTTATGTTGGCCTTTTTACTTGCTCCCTTGACATCTGCTGTCAGCTGAGCCAAAAATAATTGGGAACTCCCTCAAAGTAAAGAAAAGAGCTGAGAGATTCTCTGCATTCCTTGCAGCCTGGGAGGAAGCGTGGTGGTGGCTGCCTTTCTGTGGGCATTTAGCAAAGCATTTTCCTGCCTGAAATAACCAAAACAGGTCTTCCATGAAGATGTGCTCTGTGCTGGTTCCTCGTGTGTGCCTGCTTCAGGAATGTTTGGGTTCAGTAAGGGATGATTCCCTTATCTGTGCTTGCTTCCCATCACATGTGGAGAAGCAGAATCCACAGAAAAGCCAGTGCAGTCTTTGGGATGGTTTCATGCTGTGGCATCCCAAAAGTTACAGATGTTGAAGTGTTTTTACTCCAACTCTGCATCTCCAGGAGATGTCACTTGGCCACAGCAGCATCTGTGGAGCATCAGATACCTTGTTAGCTGGCTCAGTAAGGGTTCAGAAATTGGAAGGAAGAACCAGTGGCATCTTTTTGCACTCTTGCAGCTGGTGTACCTGGCACCACATAGGTGTCAGCCTCCTCTGTGATCTCTTTGTTGTTTTTTTGGGAGTGGATGTTTCTATTTTTACCTGGAGCCGAGTCAGATGCTCAGGTCAGATTCAGCCGTGTTGGTGCTCCCAGGCTGCAGCCTGTGCTGGTGGCAGGAGTGTCACAGCAGTGTAATCACAGCAGTGTAATCACAGCCTGCCAGCCCTGGCACAGGGGTGCTGACAGGCACCTGCCCTGGGCAATGCCAGAGCAGCCAGAGATGGCACAGCACAGCTGCTGCACCTCTGTGGGATGGACAGAATGTATCTGTGGTGAATGAGAATGCTTGGAAAGAGCATTTGCCTCATGTGGGTTCTCCTTTGCTCTGTTACCACCATCCTGCTGTTGTTTTGGGCTCTTCCACAGAGGGTTCCAGGTTCTTTCCTCTGTGAAGTTTTCGTGGTTTGATGGTGTCTGAGGGTACAGTTCTGGTTTTATCTCACTAGCTGAGAAATTGGTTTGAAAAGCTGAGCCAGCAAACATTACCTCAATAGTGGTCCAAATGAAGTGTTTTAAACACAGTTTTCCTTGGTGTGACTCTGGGTATAAAATAACTTTCAGCTGACCAGAGAAAAGTACTTCAGTTCCACTCCTTCCTCAGCAGTGTTTGCTTCTCCACCCCTTGTGTAACCACTCAGTCCCAGATGATATCTTGACAGCTCTGATGATGCAGACAAGGATGGAGTTGTCCCTGTTGCTGTCTGTGACAGCAGATCATTATTGAATTTTATTTGGCAATTTACACCTGCCAATTAGGACCTTAAGTGTCCTGATCTGATGAGCATCTGGGTTTCAGGGGGAACTTCCCTGGGGAGGTCTGGGACTTTAGGGCAGCACCCACATGTGCCAAGGGGAAAAAACAGGAGGAATGAAGACTCTGTATCCTTGTCACTGTGACCTCTTTGGTGTTGTATTTGTTTGAATGATTTCCAAAGCAGAATGGGAGAGAGCCATGCTGTGCTCCATATACACTCCTGAAACAAGAATAAATTTAAATGGGCAGGATGGAAACATGTGCCACACCTTTCCTTGCTGCTGGGGTTGGGGATTGAAGTCTGGCTTTGGAAGAGTGACTAAGGCTGCCTTGGCAGGGTTCTGTAGAGGTGGTGATGCAAGGTGAATACCAATGTCTCAGGTTTGGAGTGGGGAATGAGGGATGGGATGGATGAACTGCACAGCACCAAGAAGGGTGAAATTATGGAGTCAATCCATAAAATGTGATAAAATGAGGCCATGTCTTCTTTGTCATTGCAGTACTTCACTGGCCTGGAGTGTGGACACAAATTCTGTATGCAGTGCTGGAGTGAATATTTAACTACCAAAATAATGGAGGAAGGCATGGGACAGGTAAATCTCAACTAACCTCATGGCTTATTTCTGGGAATTCTGTGTTTTGGAGAGACAGGGGAGAGTCTCTCTGCTAAAGTTAAAAAAACCAAAAGAACAACAGAGAAAGCTCAAACCCCAAAGGTTTGGAGGCTGCAGGCTCTGTGGAGAATTCAGTGAAGTTGGTGCAGGTTTTGGGCTGGGGAAGGAGGAACCAGTGGCACACCTGGATGAGGCAGGGCACTCCTTTGTGGATTGTAGTGAAGTCTGTTGCCTTGGAATTCCTTGTGGTACAAAACCAGGATAATCACTGTTCCTCCTGTGACCTTTTTGTGTTTTTCAGACCATTTCATGCCCTGCCCATGGCTGTGATATCTTAGTGGACGACAATACAGTTATGTAAGTAATGCTCTTGGCTTTGCTCTCTCTTTCCATTGTGTTACTCATGTGCTATTCAGATGTATTTAAATGCTTCTAACAAACTGCACAGAAGCTTGCAGGCAGCAGAGGAGCCTGTCTTGAGCTGTCTGCTTTGATTCCAGAATGTCTCTTAACTTCCTGTTTAGGTGTGAAAACCCCATGTGGTGACACTGGGAGGAAAGACTCCCTGACCAGTTTGGTCAGTGTGACACCAGGGTTTCCAAACCCTGTTTTACTGCTTTGTGCATTTTGTTTCCTTTGATTTACTTAGGAATTTAGGACTTGTACCCAGGTCAACCCACTGGTTGCCCAAGCCCTATAGCTGTAGTTAATAGGTGAGTCAGAGGACAGGAGTCCTAAGGGCTGATGCAGGATGTGTTTTTTGCCCTCTGATAGGAGGCAGTTTACCCTCAAACACAAGATTTGATTAAGGTGGTGTGTCATCCTGTGTCCTTGGAATTATGAAGTTGTCCAGCTGTGGAATGACTGATAAAGTTCATGGTGGAGCAGCAAACTTCCTTCTGTTTTATACTGAGGGAGGTTGTTGCATGAGCAATATCCTTCATAATGCTGAAATTTGTTCAAGTTCATTTTAATTCTTCTTGCTAAAACATCTCGGTAGAGGCTTCTGTTACCCTATTCTTTCCTTCCTGAAGCCTGACTCATTCATTGATATTAATTTGGTGGTTTTTATTATCAGTTGCTTTCAGAGTAACGATTTCCCCAATTTTGGCTCTTGGTTACTCATGGAGTGTAGGTTGGATGGAAGTGGAAGTAGCTGAAATGCGTTCCTGCCCTGTTGAGGGGTGGTTTGTAGAGCCCAGTGGGTGGAAACTGAGCTGAAGTTGGCATATCTTGAGTAACTTGATTGAGATTTTTGTTTACCAGAGGTTGAACTTCAATTTGTGGAGTGAAACGCTCTCAGCAGGACTTTTTGGAGTGTTTTCTTGATTGCAACAGTTGGAATGAGCTGTTCAAACAGTGCATGTGAAATTGAGTAGCTGAAAGCATTGGAGGTGGCAGTGGCAGCAGCAGCAAGGAAGGGATGGAAGAAAAGGAGGGCAGAAAGGGATGAGCCCTGGGATAGGGCAGTGGCAGCTGGGTGCTAAAGCAAACAAGTCCAATTTGTCTGAGTAAAGCTAGAAACTGTTTCTAAAGGTAAAAATCCACCTTTCCCTGGTCTTACCTGGATTTCTGTGGGGAGCAAGGTGCATTTTTGCGAAAGCTCTTTCCTTTAAAAGCCAACATAGACAAGTGTGGTAATCTTAGGGTATGTCAGTATATATTGCAAAAAATGTAAATGATCTCAGCTGGAACCTGCACCCACTTCTGTGCTGTTAATTACTACTTTTTAAGTCCTTTCCTGTTTACAAAGTCTCCAGCTCTCAGTTTTCAAGCGACATGAACACAAAATTTATATGATTTATGGGCTCTGGACATGGATTTCACCTCTTAATTTGTCTAGTTTTGTTTGTGATTTGCCAAAAGACAGTAATATTCAAAGCAAAATTCTTGGAGATCTTGACCTGGTGATGTTGATTGGGGCAATCAAAGCATGTTGATAGGCAAAAAACCCAGTGGATTATGTGCTCTGGTTAGTCATGGCATGACTGTTAATTTAAATTCCAGTACCTGATATGTTGTCATCATACAGTACATTTTCAAAGTGTTATTTAGCATGTCTTGAAGCCCAGGTATGGTGTAAAAAACAAGAGATTTATAATTAACACTAAATTCAGATTGTTTTCTCATTCTTCAGTAAGTTTGACTCCAGAATTGGAGGAGATGCTTTGTCAGCTGATTTGTTTTATTTTAGCCCTGGGAATTGAGCTGCCACGTGCTGTGATTTATGTAATAACCAGCATGTGCTTGGGAGAGGAGCTCCCCAGCTGCCCAGGGCTGGGATTTGTGCACATCCCATGGGCACACACTGCTCCTCAGGGAGTGTTCTAAGGATAACATGCAGGAGTACCCTGAGTTTTGGCTGCAGCTGGAAAGGAAAATCCATTCATTCCAATATTTACCCATGGTATGACCTGTATAAAGCTGTATTCCACAGTAGGATTTAAACCAGGAATGCCACAAAGGGTGTGTCAGTGCAGTTTATATTTAGATATATTGGGAAGACACTTCAGTCATGGCTAAAAGACATTTTTGGAAGTGCTCAGCAATCCATAATTAAGTTATTTTGGATGCATTTAGGCTGGGCAGTCTGCAAATGCCAGCTGGAATGGTGTGCCCAGGAGAAAAGTGGTCACCATGCTTGTCAAGGGTCCCATCAGTTTTCCTCTGCTCCCCCAGTTCCAAGCAGACTGGAATTAATTTAAAGTCCATGTTGTGTACACCCCTAGTGATGTTGAATTCAAATCAACATTGTTTTTATGGTAAATAGATTAAAACACCATTAATTTTTAAGCTGAAGCTGTAGCATTCCACTGAAACCCAGCTAACATGGGGCTTCCCAAAGTTATTAGCCACACAAGGGTTGTTTTGGAGCTTTTTAAAGGGATTTGCCACAAAATGTGCCTGTTTTATGTAAATGAACTGATGAAATTACTTGCTTTGTTTCTTGGGCTCTTCAGGGAAGTGTTTTTAAATAAAAATCCTCAACACCAAGAGGTTCAATTCTTTTGAACTGTTTGAGCTTTCTGTTTCTGAAGCTAATATATTTATATATGTATATATTTATACATTGCATAGAATGAATGTAGTTTTCATAGTAATAAATGATGTAACAAATAAATAGAGAACAGTTAGAAGGATGAATCAAACCTATTTGTCTTAACTTACTGGCAGTATATGGAAAAAACAAGATTTCTGCTACAATTTTTCTGTTTCTTCCCTTCCCACAGGCGTCTGATCACAGATTCCAAGGTTAAATTAAAGTACCAGCATTTAATAACCAATAGTTTTGTAGAGGTGAGTTTTTATTTGAATTTTTCAATGGCTTGTAGGTTTTGTCTCACACCTGTAGCCAGCCAGAGGCTGGAGGCTTGTTTAGAACTGCAGAGTAGGTTTTTTGCATAGTCTCTAAATCAGGTGTGAATGCAGGGGTTGTTTTATGGTCCTTTGCATTACAGGGATAATTGTAGGAAAATACTAAAAAAACTTTAGGACAAAAGACCTAAAGAGAGTGTAAGAGCAATTGCTTAATATTTGAGTTCTGAGAAGCAGAATTATGTAGTTATAATAGTTACATAATAGTTATGTAATATTTATAATTCTTGAGTGTTACCTGAGATACTTCACATTGAAAACCAGGAAATGCCATAAACACAAGAACATGCCTTAAACGTTTTGCCAGTTGAAGTAAAACTGCAAAAGTGCTTTAGCAAAATACTAATAGTTTTATAGCCTCCAAATACACTTGGAGAAAGGTGCTTTGCAGGATGTTTGCAGTGTCCCAGTTTCCCAGTTGTGTGGCTTCAGCTGTCCTGTAGAATCAAGCTTTCAGTCCTTGCCAGGAGTGGTGGGTGCAGTGGGTTTGGGTTGAATTTCTTAGCTGTTTGCAGCCACAACAAAGGGATGCCGGGCAGGAGCTGTCCTTGAGCACACCCTTCCTGTGTGATGTGGATGTGTCTTTGTTTCCCAGTGTAATCGACTGTTAAAGTGGTGTCCTGCCCCCGACTGCCACCACGTCGTTAAAGTCCAGTACCCGGATGCGAAACCCGTGCGCTGCAAATGTGGCCGTCAGTTCTGGTAAGAGAGCAAGGACAAGATGCTGATGCTGCTTTGTGCAACATGCCCTGGCAGTGTGTTAGTGTGTGCTCATGGAGGCCCAGGCTGCTTTGGCTTGGGAGGGGCATTACAGGTGGTCAAGTTCCACTGCTGTGAGCAGGGACACCTTCCACTATCCCAAACTGCTCCAAGCTCTGTCCAGCCTGGCCTTGGACACTCCAGGGATGGGGTGACTTCTCTAGAAACCACTTTCAGTGTCTCACAGCTCTCACAGTAAAGAATTTCTCCCTAATAATCTCAGCTAACTCTGTCCTCTGGCAGTGGAGAGCCATTCCCCCTTGTTCTGTCACTGTTTTGAAGGGGCCCTTGAGGGATTTCAGGGTTGAAGGGGGTAGTGTTGAGTTTCCTTAGAATTGGCTTTGAGCAACCCAGAAGAAAACTTAAACTGTTTAATTACAAGTACAATCATGTGCCCTGTTTGCTTATTTTCCCTTTCTTTCCCTTACAGCTTTAACTGTGGTGAAAACTGGCATGATCCTGTTAAATGCAAGGTGAGCACATCAAGTTTCTTGTCCAAATCTGTGTTTTGAAAAAGTTTAAAATAAATTTATGTGCAAGACTTAGCAACCAAGCCCAAGCTTTTGGGGCTGTCCATAGAATCATAGATGATTCTGAGCTGGAAGGGAACCCCCAGGGATTATTGAACCCAGTTGTTGTTCTCACTAGGGAGCAGAGTAGCTCAGCTGTTTAAACCACAGGGTGAAAACCAGCAGTGAAATCCTATTGGGTGCCTTTACTGCTGCCTCACAGTTGGACCTTGTGAGGGAACAGTGCCTCATCCAGGGGGGAATTCTCTGGAAGAGGAGGTTGTTAGGCCTGTGCCCCTGCAGAGGAGTGAAGGTGTTTTTTGGACAAGGGGCATTCCTGTAGGAGTTGTTCCTGTAGGTGTTTGATGCTTTGTCAGGCATGATCCATTGTACTGGAGGAACTAATTTAGTTTTTCTGTTTTGGGTTTGAAGGAAATTCAAAGATTATCTAGTCCCACAGCCTGCCGTGGGCTGGGATACCTTCCACTAGCCCAGGGTGCTCCAAGCCCTGTCCTTGAACACCTCCTGTTTGATGCTTTGTCAGGCATGATCCATTGTACTGGAGGAACTAATTTAGTTTTTCTGTTTTGGGTTTGAAGGAAATTCAAAGATTATCTAGTCCCACAGCCTGCCGTGGGCTGGGATACCTTCCACTAGCCCAGGGTGCTCCAAACCCTGTCCTTGAACACCTCCAGGATAGGGCAGGCACAGCTGCTCTGGGCAGCCTGTACCAGGGCCTCCCCACCCTCACAGGCATCAATCCCTTCCCAGTATCCCATCTATCCCTGCCCTCTGGCAGTGGGAAGCCATTCCTCGTGTCCTGTCCCTCCAGGCCCTTGTAAACAGTCTCTCTCCATCTTTCTTGTAGGCTCCTTTCAGGTACTGGAAGGCCACAATTAGTCACCCCAAAGCCAAAATGTCCTTATTATTTAAGAGTCCAGCATGAAGTTTGTGTTGATGAAGAGCTGCAAACTCATTGCAGGAGTGTTTGTGCTGGGTGCTTGTGCTTGCTGGATCAGGCTGGAGCTGCAGGAACTGTCTGCCACTAAATTAGTGGCTGTTTGCACAGTTTTCCAGCACCAACACTCCCCAGTTCCCATGTGGCTGGGTGTACCTTTCCTTAATGTGAGCAGGTGTCTTGGGAGCATTTACAGTTCCTCCAGTTAGATTTAATGCTCCTCTTCCATCATTTTTCTGACAGTGGTTAAAGAAATGGATTAAGAAGTGTGATGATGACAGTGAAACCTCCAATTGGATTGCAGCCAACACAAAGGTGAGAGGTTTTCTCCTATTTTATATAGAGATTTTATACAGATTTGTCAGGTGAAAAGGACATCAATCTAATTCCTTGCACTAGGATTGCTTTTTCTGTTCCCTGTTAAGAGCAAGCCTTAAAATCCACAGTACACTCAAGTGCTCTTGTTGGAGGAGTGAACGAGTGTTAATGCCTGGAATCAGGTGAGTTTCTTCAAGTTCAGTGAAGGAAAGTGCTTGGAAGAAACAGTTAATTGGAGACCCAAAGGAAGCTCAAGATTTAAGTCTTTAGGTTCCTGTCTGGCACCAGTGGCTTCCCTAAGCAAATCCATGGCCCATTCCGTGTGTGGAACATGCTAGCACCACCCGTGGCTCAGTTTGGCTGGGATCATTTACATCTGCCTTCACATCCCTGGGATTGGCCTCCGGAGGAGCCTTCATTTCTGCTGGGCAGCATTCCAGCTGGAGACTGGCAGAACAGCTGTCTGGGATTTCATTATGTAAAGGTCTTCCTTCTACTTAGCCCAACTTTGCCTGAAACTTTAGCATTTGATCATTTTGGGACAAATTAAAACCAAGATGGTCACAGTGACAAGGACGCAAAAGCAGCAGATCCCATGGGGGTGAGGAGCAGGCCTGGGGCTCCCAGCTGAAGGAGGAAGGTGGGGAGGGAGTGAGGAAATGGCTGCTTTGTTTTCTTAGCTCTGTTGTGTAAGTGGTTAATGGCATTGTTTGCAGCAGCCTCGCTGCTTTCCGGGGCTGGCTGCCTGGTTTTCATCGAGCTGGAATGCTGTGTTATGGTGGCAGAGAAACCCCTGCTGTGCAGCTCAGATCAGCCTGCAGTGGGCCCTGCTTGGAGCTCACAGAGTCCCCAGAGGGACTTTGGCTTTGTCTCAGTGTGTTCCAAAGTGGCTCGGGGACTGAACCAGGTTTGTCTGGAGTTTGCTGGGTTTTCAGGGAACTACTCCTATTAAACCTGAGAAAGGGCAGCAAATAGCTTGGAAAAGGCTGAGTGTAAGCACTGCTAGCCTTGGGTCTCACATATTTGGCACTCTGGAACAGCAGCAGCCCTGCTTTGCCTGTTAAAGCCCTCAAGATCTTGGGATACCACATCTTCTAACTGCCCTGTCTTGGGAATAAGAAGATTTTGGGGGGGAAACACCCAGCTGGAGGGTGGCATCTGGCACCAGCCCTGCTTCTTCATTGGTAGCTCTAGTCTGGTGTGAGCAGCAGAGCTGTCCTGGGACATCACTGTCTAAGCTACTTCCTTTAATACTGTCCCAGACATTCCTACATGGGAATACTTAGGAGCCCAGGCTGCAACAGGGAGAAAAATTGCCATCAGGGTAATTACTCCAGACATTTGAGCAAGCCAACAGTCCTGGAGTCTTACAGCATCCATATCCATTGAATTAGCTGAAGGACAATATGGCATTCTTCTCTCTGAGCTGATGCTGGATTCAATTGAGGGGAAAGTTGGCAGGAAGAGTAACCCACCCTCATGCTGATCCCTGCCTTGGGGAAGGTGGGAATCTCCAGCTTTGGCCTCTGGGATGTGTGTGCTGGGAGCTTTGCTGCCTCAGAGAGCCAGGTCAGGCTGGGATTGTGGGGCTGCATCCAGCTCCTGCTTCAGTTCCCCGCTGATCCCTGACCAGAGGCACAGAGAAACCCCAGGGCTGTGTGGGTGTCTGTAGTGACAGACTGGGATGGGAATTGTGCAGCTGCACCCCTCCTTTCTCTCCATCCCTCCTTTCTCTCTGTACTGCTCTTGCAGGAAAGCAAGGCAGCTGTGTTTGGTGAGGCACAACTTGTGCCTGCATCTGTTGTCTTCACAGCCTAAATTCTGTGTTGAACTTCATTTTGAAGAACCTAGAAAGGAATCAGGTGCCATCAGGTGCAGAAATCCCCATTATCAGTGGGAACAGCTCTCCAAGGAATTCAGTTGTGACGACGCGCTCCGTTGCTGCTTCTGGCTTTTGGAAAGCACTTTGTGAAGCCATCCAGGCATGAATCCTGTCCCATGTGGGCTCCTCTCAGGGAAGGAGACTTCCTGTCATACCGAGATGAAGGTGTAAAAGAGAAATACCAATCCTCTGGAATGTGGGCTTGAAATCTGGATAATCCTTTGCAACGGGAGAATGTGAGATACATTTGTTCCGGCTTGTCCTGGGAGATGGAGCTGGAAAGGAAGATTAGGCAATTGTGTGAGAGAACAGAAGAGTGAAACCCAGCTGAATTGGGTTCTGTTCCCAAACTGGAATGATGCGATGCATTTTTTGATGAATTATGTAGAGTGGTCTGAATGAAAATGAGGAAGTTTGAGTAGTGAGTTCTGTGGTTTCTGATACGATTTTTTTATTCTTTTGCATTCATTTACTTGCACTTAGGAGACCTAAATTCCTTCTACTTGTACAAAAGACACAGCCCTTGCAGCAGAATGTGCTGGAGTAGATGTTTTTTTCCTTAAAATAAGCTACTTTCACATGAGTTTAGCTTAACTAGATTAATTTAAAGTTGTGATAAGGCAATACAAGTTCTTTATCAAGCCTGTAATTCTCAGTCTTTTTGAGGAATGGGGTTGAATAGTCCAAGGATTTGCACATTTCTTCCTTTTTCAGTTTATTTGACAAACTTGGCTCTTCCTCTCTTGAGTTAAACTTGACAGGTTTTGGGTATTTGGGAATAAAGGAGCCACAGAGATCCATTACTTTTGTCAAGTGGACATGCAGAGCAGTGAAAAATAGAAACAACTTGGATTTGTGCATTTATTTTGGGCTCTTAAAGTGTATCAAGACTGTCTAAAAGGAGGAGGGGAAACCTGTTTGGAACCTGAGTGTGATTTTAATCTCTGCTTGTTGGAATACCAAAGGGAAAACAACAAAGATGGTGACAGTGCTGGCCTGCACACAAGGCACTGCTTTTTGTTGTGGAACTTAAATTGGTGTTAATGAAAGTTGTTAATCTGGTACTAAAAAAGCTCCAGCATTGCTTCTTTGGCTCCTGGCACATCCCCATCCTTCCTTTGCAGGCCAGACAGAGCTTGAAGGGCTGATGGATAAACCAGGCACATTTTCTTCTCCAAAAGAGCTACTGGCTGTTTTCCTCCTGTGCATGAGATAAAGTGGCATGAGCCCACATCTCTCCCTTTTCAGATCACTTTTTAATGGCTTAAAGTGCTCCCTCTGTACTTTCTGGAGATCCTGCATTTGTTCTAATGCATGGATATTCTGGCAGGACATGGAATCCTCCAGCACCAGCACCAAGCTGTGCTCCTTCATTTCCCACTGCACTGGAGCCATGACCTGTGTTTTTCTAAAGGTGCCCAAGTGCCATCTCCCTTTCTCAGATGAACTGGTGTTTCAAATCTGTTTAAAAAAGTTTTGCTCTGTGACTCTAGGTGTTAGAATGGTGTACTGTTTGTGCTAGCCATAATTAAGTTTTTGGGTTTTGTTGAAATTCATTAAGAAATCCCTGTGGTTTTTGATGAGTCTTTTTATAGGATGGGCTGGAGGTGAAGGTGTTGATGTGAATGTGGCTGTGGGAGGCTGGTGTCCACCAGTTCCTCTGGGAGTTCTGGAAAGGACTAATCTCTTTCACTTGCCCTGAAACAAGAAACATGTTTCTGTTTAGCTTCCTGTTCATAAAAGAGCAGCTGAGGTTTATGGTGCTTTATATGTGCATGGACTTTTACAACAAAATCAGGATTGTTCTCCATTGCCAGGTTTGCCCAGGCTTTTGTTTCCAAGCCCAGTAAGGAATTGTTTGAAGTGGAACAATGTTAATGAGGTCACTTCTGTGTTGTGCTGTGACTGATAATGTGCACAATAATCTGCAGGTTTAGTAACTTGATTTGCTGCCTGTTGGGTTGCTGCATAGCTGTAATTCTCAGGGAGATCTTCCTTCCTATCCTCACTAATCTATAAATCTCTCCCACTTGTTCTGTTGGTGACGTGAGTAGTTATTAATTCTTTTTCTGCTGGTGTCCAGCATTTCTTTAGTATGTGCTTTTCATGGCTTTAATTTTTAATAATATTCAATGTTACACTTCTACACAGCTTTAGTGATTTGCACAAATACTGTGTCACCTCTTCCTTGTGCTTTGCTAGACAGGAGCATAAAGGCTTGAAAAGGATGGCATTCCCTGTGAGAAAAGGGCTGGAATGAGATCCTAGAATCATGGAATGGTTTGTGTTGGAAGGACCTTAATTCAAGTTCCACCCCCACCATGGGCAGGGACCCCTTCCACTATCCCAGGGTGCTCCAAGCCCTGTCCAGCCTGGCCTTGAACACCTCCAGGGAAGGGAGAGCCACAGGTGCTCTGGGCAACCTGTGCCAGGGCCTGCCCACCCTCACAGGGAAGAATTCCTTCCTAATATCCCATTTATCTCCAAGTGGGAAGCCATTCCCTCTTGTCCAGAGTCCCTCTCCAGGCTCTCCTGGAGCCCTTTGAGGCACTGAAAGGGTCGTTTTGTGCTGGTTTGCATTCCAGTGCTCAAAGCCCTGAGCACTGTGGACACACTGGAAAGCTTGGTCCCACCTGCAAGCCAGGAGGGCAGAATTTCTGTGCTGGATGGAGCCTTGCTGGGGGTGAGATGGCCCCACATCCCTGTGCTGTGGATATGTGCTTGTGGCACTTCTCCAGCTTGGCTTGTCACCTGGGGTCTGTTCTCCCTCTCTCAGCTGTAGGATTTTGCTCAGCAGGAGGGACCGTGGCTGCTGTGTGGATCAGCTGTGCTTCCCACAGTGATGTGGGCACCTGGTGGGAGGAGATGTGACTGGAACTGCTCAGCTCCACAACCTGCTCTGGCTGTGCAGCCCAGGGTCATCATGGTGTGACAGGGACACTGTCTGTGCTTAGAGACCCTGGCTGATGCAGATTGAGCAGGGATCTGCACAGTTGGGCAGGACATTGCTGGCATAAACCTAAATTTGAGTCTTGACTTGTTGGTGCAGGATTGGAAGAGGGAGGAGTGCTGCCTGGATGAGGGAAGCAGATGCTGCCCTGAGTGCTCTGCTTGAAAGAGGATTTTTGACTTTGAAGTTCACAGAACTGCACTGACTAACTGGGAACAAGCTTCCCTGGCTGAGTATCCATCCTGTGACAGTCCTAGGGAACATCTTGGTGTTGTGCCCTTGAAGGGACCAGCACAGGAGCTTCTGTGCTTCACTTACTCTGTTTGTAGTACAGTTACTGAGTCTGAAGAACAAACACAGGTGACTGGGAAAAGGGCAGGTCTGGAAAATCCCTCTTTTGTGCTTGGTGGCTGCTTGGTCCCATTGGTTTGATGTTCAGATTCTCCTGATTGTGACAATACAAACTGGAAAACTCATATGAAATGTAATAGTTGGGACACTCAGAGTGGGTGTACAGGAACCCATTGGATTGTGTCCTGTATAGAAGGAGCAGTTATGGACTGATTGTGCATGTTGGTTTCTTCCTTTGCTGAGAGTTTATCTGAATGCCATGGTAGGAACTGCTTTGGTTAGCAAAGACATGCTCCAGACTGGGGAGGGGATTTCACATGCTGCTGACCCAAAAGCTTCAGCTGATTTCAAAGTGTGTGTATCACTGGTTTGGATGTGTTTGTTATTGTATTATATATAAAAACTGGCTTGTGCAGAAACTTCATGAAGGCTGGTGTGGTTGTGGGATGAGCTGGATGAGGAGCTGATTCAGCCTAAAATGGTTTTGGTTTTATTTATGCAGTTTTTTTCTTTGTATTTGCTGCTTTGTTGATCTGTTCATTTCCAAGCTTATGGAGACCATGATATTGGTGTTATATTCCCCTGTACAGAGCTGCCCTTTGAGATACATTTGTCAAGAGCCTTACTCCTGAAAGGGAAACCCCATGTGAGCTTTTATGGAAGAGTCTTCAGTGAGGTGTCACATGAAGGGAAAAAAGGGACCTGACGGGAAACACGGAAGCACCTCAGGAAGAGAAGTGTCTTTTTAGCTGACAGCAGCTTCTTTGAAGCACACTAGAGTCTTGCTGCATGTTTTCAGCTCCTTTCTGGATGGCATGTTACAGCTGCAGGATTGGTAACAGCGTGATTCCGGCTTGGTCTCAGTCCCAGAGTGGACCAGACTTGGTGGTGAGGAAAGCCACATGCTTCCCAGGCTCTTAGAGACCACCTCTCTGCTGGGATTTTGGGGAAGGTCATGAAGTGACTCACCCAGTGTCCCTCTGTGAGAGCAGCATAGATAAAATACATTATTCCTTAATTTTTTTTCTATCTAACTGCTCCGGGTTTGGAAGTATTTTAAGGCCTGACTGAAGAGGATCTCGATGTCCAAAGGGAAGGATTAAATCATGTGTTTCACTTGACGTGCTCTGTCTGACTGCCGTGGGAACCCTTCCAAGTTCCCCAGGCTGTTGGGGTTCCGTGCTTGCCCTGCTAACGGTGCTCTCTGTCCTGTGGACAGGAATGCCCGAAATGCCACGTCACCATCGAGAAGGACGGGGGCTGCAACCACATGGTCTGTCGGAACCAGAACTGCAAGGCGGAGTTCTGCTGGGTGTGTCTGGGCCCCTGGGAGCCCCACGGATCTGCCTGGTGAGTTCGGGAGCGTGCCTTGCTGGAAGGCGAGGAGGTCGTGGTGCAAACGGCACGGATTTGGACTGAAATCTCTGGAATCGGTGTCCCTGTTACAGGTACAACTGTAATCGCTACAATGAGGATGATGCAAAGGCAGCAAGGGATGCACAGGAGGTGAGTCCATAACCTTTGGTGATGAGGGAGATCATCGGCCCTGTGCTGTGCTTTCTGTAAACCTACACATCTGCTCTGAAGGAATTCACGGATTCGGGCACAAATCCAAAGGACAGTTAAGTCTTTTGACTTTTAAGATAGGGATGGCTTTGCCTGCTATGTGCTACCTTTGTACATCCAGAGCACACAAGTTGAACCATGCCCGTGGTGTTATTTTTTTACAGCTGGTCTGTCAGTGTGAAGAAAATAAGATTAATGACTGTGTATTGAGTCATCTTGGTTCTCTTGCACTATTTAGCACACGGTGCCTTTCCCCTGCTTTATTATCATCCTGAGATTGCCCTCTTAGCACAAGCACAGTAATCAGAATTCCTTATTAGCAAAAAAAAAACCCCAACAAAACATCATCTTCTCACTTTTGTCATGACACTGGAAGCATGTGAGTGCTGTACCTCGAGTCGAGAGGCTGAAATACAAAAGTGATGGGGCTTGAGCAGTGTGACTGTTATTGCTTCCAAGGTAGGGAGTGAGGATGTCAGAGCTGTGCTGGGAAGTGCCTGGGGCGCTTCCCAGGGTTAGCAGGGCCGCACGGAGCCGTCTGCCCAACACGACAGGAGAGGAGCCTCTTTTGGAAAGGAAGCTCATTCTCTGGATCAGGAAGAGCCTTGTGAAGGGTTTACTTCTCTTGCAGCCATTACTTTGTTTTAACTGTCTGTTTTCTTTGTCCCTAATGGGAATTAACACAGCGATCCCGAGCAGCCCTGCAGAGGTACCTGTTCTACTGCAACCGCTACATGAACCACATGCAGAGCCTGCGCTTCGAGCACAAGCTCTACGCTCAGGTGAAGCAGAAGATGGAGGAGATGCAGCAGCACAACATGTCATGGATCGAGGTGCAGTTCCTGAAGAAAGCAGTCGACGTCCTCTGCCAGTGTCGTGCCACACTCATGTACACTTACGTCTTTGCCTTCTACCTCAAAAAGAATAATCAGTCCATTATCTTTGAGGTAAGGGAAAATGGGGTTGTCAGGAATTCAAACTGTAAAACTGAGGAAATAAGATTTAATGCTTGGAGGCCTCTAGTTCTCACTTTTACCCAATTTAGTCTGGTTTAATATTCTGTTGTGCAGAAGTTAGAGGCTCTCTGGGCACGTGTAGGATCATGTGATGGAGGAACCACAGAATCACAAAGCTATGGCTGCCCTATCCTGGAAGTGTTCCAGGCCATGTTGAATGGGGCTTGGAGCTACCTGGTCTAGTGGAAGGTGGCCCATGGCAGTGATGGAAGTGGAGGAGTTTCAATGTCCCTTACCACCCAAAATCAGTCTGGGATTCTATTATATCTAATCCTTTTTTATTTTGGTACTGATTTCAATAGCTCTGAAATAAAAATCTCCCCCTTTTCTTTACCCCCCCTCAAACACTTTTTTTCTTTTGTCTTTACAGAATAACCAAGCAGACTTAGAGAATGCTACAGAGGTGCTTTCTGGGTACCTGGAGCGAGATATATCCCAAGATTCGCTGCAAGACATAAAGCAGAAAGTACAGGATAAGTACAGGTTTGTGTTGGAATACTCCCTTCTCTCAAAGCAGCCAAAGAGTGCTGCCATGCCCTGGGTCAGGTAGTGACCTGAGCACTTGCCAAGATACAGTTTCTCCAGCGCCACATCCTTGGGAAGCTGTTTGCTCTTGGCTTTGTGCCACCCATTGTGCTCAGCCAGTCCCTGGATATCTGAGAGCAGCAGCGCTGTCCCGAGCCAGCCCCGGATCCTTCTGCTGGAGCCCTCACACAGAGGCTGGCAGTGTGTTTTTGTGTCCCTGCTGGGACCAGCTCTCAGGGGAGGTGACAGCCTGTGGGGAGAGGCTCCCAGCTCTGCCTTCCATCTGCTCTGCAGAGCAGGAGCTGGAAGATCCATTCCTGGAATGGAAAAAATCCTGTGTCCAGAAGCAGTGGCTCCTCAGTACACTGCTGTTCCTGCACAGAAGGAGCATGTGGGAATGGCCAGCACCAGAACGGGATCCACAGAGTGAGGGCCAAAGAACAAGGAGTGACTTTGTTGTTCCAAGCTGCCAGCTTTGGCCTAGGATGAGCTGCCAGCAGAGAGCAATTGGCTCTTTTAATTGTCTGCTGGGTCCATTTGTGCAAAACGTGGGTGTAGGAAAGCTGTCCCTGAGGAAGAGGGATAGAGCAGCCTGCCCAGCTGGGAAGGGGAGCAGGGGACTGGGGTCCAGGTGACACAGATGCCAGTGCTTTGTTCAGTCCCAGGGGAATAATTTCTGCACAGTGGAAAAGTACAAAGCTGAAAATGCGGATGAGTCACAGGATTAGGGCTTGCATTTCTGAGGCATTTTGCCAAAATCACTGAATTTGTTATGCCTGGCTTAGGGGGAAGAAAATATCCAAAGTAGGGTGAGCTGTAGGACTCAGTGGACTGGGGGGCGTGGCAGGAGCTGTTAAGATTTGGTGGCTCATCCTGCCCAACTTTGGCAGCACAGCTGGGGCTGGACGAGACTTTCCTAACCTTCTTTTTGAAGATGTTTTGTCATTTACCCTTTAAGGCCACCATTAATTCAGTATTTCAGATGAAGCTGCTTGTTTACTTCAGTCCTCTGAACCTTGATGCTTTTGTAGGGGTGAAATTACAAGCTAATATAGCCTGAATTGCTTGGAAACAGTATCCCAAACCTGCCTTCACATTGCTGGGAAGAAAGAATACATCTGTCAAGCCCGTGCAGGTCCCTGATTAACCAGTTCAGTCATGTCTTAACCATGTCCTGCACGGTGCCCTTTGATGCAAGACTGGGAGCAGGATGTCATTGAGGTGGGTTTAAAGAGCTCTGGGAAGCTGCAGGAACTGCCCTCCAGGCTGGTTTAGTTTCAGCTGTTTGGATCTCTTTGCTTGCAAAGACATATCTAGAAAACAGGATTAAGCCCCCCACACACATCCAGCAGAAAAATAACTGAAGTTTGGAAAGCAGAGACCGCGTGTTTGCCATCACATGCTCCCGAAAATCAATGGGACTTTGTGTACAGGGGGTTCCTCTTGCACCAGCTGACAGCAGTGAGGGGAGCCACAGCTGCTCTGATGGATAAATCAGTCACTCTGATAAGGTCCTGAGCAGTAGGTGAGGAATTCCTGCCAGGTGTTAGTGTGTGTTATGGTCAGGGATAGCTTCCCACTGGGAGGTTTCTCCTGAGGGGTCTCTGACCACTGCCAAGCAAGCTGGGTTCCCAGCAGCCAGAGCCTCTCAGGTGCTTATTTAGGGTTTGCTCTTGGAGCCTGAATTTGTTCAGTGTTTCTGTGCTTTTTGTCTTCTAACACACCCAGAATGACATCCTTTGCTGTGTTCTGTGAGGTGCCTTTCCTCAGGATCGGTGATCCTGGGAGGGCTCTTGGATCAGATTTATGTGCAGCATTTTTCAGTCAGTGTAGGTGGGAATGCTCCCTGGGTGTAGTGTCCCTCTGAGAGCCACGTGTTGGGATGTGAGGTGAAACCTGCTCTCCAGCCAGACCAGTAACCCTTTGGACTGCTTCCATCTCCACTGGGAAATAAAACTGTGTCAGTGCTCCTGAGGTTTGGGTTGGAAGAGATCTTAAAGTAAATACTCTTCCACCTCCTGCCATGGGCAGGGACACTTTCCACTAGACCAGGTGGCCACATCCCACCTGGCCTTGAGCACCTCCAGCTAGTTTTCCCAGCTAACACGTGAGTTTTTGTTGTCCTGATGGGACTTAGAGCAGGCACCAGCCCATGTCTGAGGAGAGCTCATCCCATTCCATGTGTCTCCACTAACCTGTGCTCAGACTTCTTCAAACCACAGCTGCTGCTTCCTCCTCTTCCAGTTATTCCTGAAGGTTTCTCAGCTGTAGAGGCTCTGGGGATACTTTTGCCTGAAAAACTCTGAATTTGCACACTGGTTTTCCAGCCAGGGACCTGGAGCTGAGTGACTGGAGCAACCAAAGTCTTAATTAGTGCAGTTAATAGGCTTGTAAATACAAACTCCCTTCTCAGGGGACCAAGTCTTTTGGAAGTGTCTCGGTTTGGAAAGACAGGTGCCTGCTAAGGAAGGCAGGAGCCTCCCCTGAAATGGAGAATGTAAACAACCCCCCCCCAAATTGCTATAAATTTTAAAATAAGGGGCTCTCAGGCAAAAAATACGGGAGCAGGAATAACAGTTCTTTAATAGGGAAGAAAATAAAAAGATAAAACAAACAAGGCAGTAAACCAAAACAACACTGACAGAGTCAGAACACAACCTGACCATCCCGATCAGATGGTAAGAATCCAATTGGAATTGTGGCTGCAGTCCTCCTGGAGTGTCAGGTGTGGTTCTGCTGGGGCAGGGATCCTGTAGAAGGGTGTAGTCTTCCTCTGAAGATGCAGTGGAGGAGGCAGCTGTTCCTCTGGGAATCCAGAGAAGCTGTGCTGGTGTTCCAGAGGATTGGGTGTGGAAGAGATAAGGAAAACTGCCCCCTGAACAGGAGACAGCTGCCATCCAGATGGCAAAGAGATTCCATTTTACCTTGTAGTGTGGGACAGGAAGTGAGGTTTGGATAACTGGGTGCCAGGGATGCTCCATGATTCCTGACGTGCCTTTTCCATGCTGTCCCTGTCCCTGCAGATACTGCGAGAGCCGGCGGAGGGTTTTGTTGCAGCACGTGCATGAAGGCTACGAGAAGGACCTGTGGGAGTACATCGAGGACTGAGCCCGGCCCCGCAGCAATGAACTCTGAACCCTTTCCCATCCTAGAGTGCTCATGCAATTCCAATAAAACCCACCCAGGGCGCTGCTCCGCCTCTTACACCGCTGGTCTGTAGTACCGGGATTCTGTTTTGTTAACAGAAAAATTAAGTAAATTATATTGTAATAAAAAAAAAGGTAGATAAACCATTGTACAACAGTATTCTAGGCGGCCAAGAGTGTGACAGACGCACTAAAAACCCTCCAACTTTAACTTGTAACGTAGCTTCATCCTCCAAGCCGACTCCTTTTTCTTTTCTCTCTTTCTTTTCCTGTGTGTAGTACAGATGAAACTTAAACCAGTTTCTTGACACTGCTTTTCATGTCCAAACCAGCCATTTTGATGGACTTTGGTAAGGGGGGTGGCTCTCCCGCTCCCCTCCTCCTCTCTGCCACCCAAATACATGGATGAGTGTGGATTGACTCATTGTAAAGAGGATTTTTGGGGAGGGAAGGAGGGGGGTACACAGCAAGGAAAAAAAAAAACCCAACCTTTGTATATGACTTTTAAAACAAAAAGAGGACAACACAGTATTTTTCAAAGTTGTATATAGCGCATATGCATGGACAAAGAGCAAGCGTGGCACGTGTTTGCATAATGTTTAATTACAAAAAATATTTATTCTTTAAAAATCTTCAAGATTATGTCTATTTGCTGTGCATTTTCTTTCAGTTTGATTCTTTTGTTTGGTTTTGTTTTTTGTTTTTTTTCCCTGGGTTGGGGTGGGGGAAGCGTGTGCTGGTGTAGTGAATATATCTATATATATATATTTTTTATTTTTGTTTTCTTTTTGGAAGGCTTTTTCCAGAGCAGTTGGGTTTCTCCTCTTCCTGCAGTTCCTTTCTGTCCAGGGCCTCCCCCAGGTCTGTGTGTGTATCCATTGCTGGCGACGGACGCGGCCCCTCGCAGCTCCTGGAGCTCTGGTTCAGGATGCCTTGCCTTTTTCTCGGTTTATTTTTGGCCCCAGATCTTTACCTGCCCAAATCCAGCTCTCTGTTCCCACTGGTGCACGCAGGACACGTGCTGTGATCCCAGAGGAGGCGTGTGAGTGTGCGTGTGCGTGTGTTTGTGTGTGCTTAGAGGTTTGTCTTGGATCCCGAGGCAGGACAAGGAGGGGTGGTTTGCTCCACTTCTCCAAAGACTTCCTGCGAGATTTCGGCTGTGGATCTCCTCTCCCTCCACCTTTCATCTGTCAAATGGACCCTTTCTTGCTGTTTTAATTTTCACTTCATTATAACGAGTCGTAACATTGAAAAGGAAAGCTGATGGAATTGTCTTTGTGTTTGTTTTGGGCTCAATCACTGGGCGTCCTGTCCTGGCAACTATTTAACACTCCATCTAGTGCAGTAGAAGCTGAAATCAGCGGAGTATTTTTCAATTAAAAGGGGAAAGAACTAATGAGTTTAGCTACTGAGTCCATTTTTATGATTTCTGTAACAAGAGCTATGTTAAAGTAAACAACTGGTGGTGGTTTTATTAAATTTACTCCTGTATAGGAATTCCTTCTGTGGTATTTTTCGCCAGGCAAGTGTCCTCCAAGCCTCCTGCCGCTCTGCCAGCTTCCAGGGGATGGAAGTTGTGCAGGGATCAGATAAAAAGGCAGATCCCAGGCAGGGCTGTAACACGGGATGCTGTTTGCAGCTGGCAGCGGGCTCAGTTCTGCTCCCTCACTGCTCCTACCGACATTCCACGGATGTGGTTTTGTCTCTTTTTTCGCCCTGGAGCTCAAACCTGAGGGAGCGCAGCGCTTCCCCCGCGCTGCTCCCGCTGCTGCCTGAGGGGTGGGATGGCCCACGCCCGCATCCGTCCCTGCCATTCCCGCTGGGAATGCTCCGTCCGTGCGGTGAGACGCTCGGCAGCTGGGCTGGGCAGGTGCAAGCACAGAGGTTGGGTTTTCACCCGTGTTCCCCAAAGGAACGCGCCGGGGATGTGGGCACTCCACTCCAGGGCAAACGCGCTCTGGGGCGTCCTCAGCCCCACGGCTGCCGGCAAGCCTAAAGACAGTGACAGAGCCCCGTTCTGTGGGAAAACCTGCGCAGTTCCTCTCCTCCGGGCTTCAGGCGCTCGCAGGTGAATTACCATCCCCACAGACACTGTAGGAATATAAAGGAAAACAAACAAAATCCGCCATCCCAACCTCCCTCCCTGCTGCTGCTGAGGGGCGGGGAGGGAGCGCGGCCGCTCAGCGTTTCCTGGGCTATCCCTCCTCACTGGCGGCCTCACTTCCCTCTACACCGCGGAGTTCCCAATAAAGCCTTCCAAAACCCTGACATTTTATTATTTCTGTGGTTTTTCGGGTGCTTTTCAGGTTAAACGGGGGCCGAGATTTGAGGGGGGGGGGGGGGGGGGGGGGGGGGCGGAGCCCCCCCGCCACCAGCTTCCCGCCGTGCCCCGCGCGCCATGGCCGCGCCGGAAGTGGCGCGCGGTCGCCATGGCAACCCCGGCCCGCCGCGGCCATGGCGGAGCCGCAGGACGCCACGGTGAGGGGAGAGGGGAGAGAGGAGCCCGGGCTGAGGGGACCGGGAGGGACCGGAGGGGCGGGGGACGGCAGAGGAGGCGAAGGGAAGTGAAGGGCGGCGGCGGCGGCGGGAAGTTCTTCTGAAGAGCGAGTTTTTAATCTGCACGCTTGGTGTGGAAAACGTGAGGGAAATTCAGCGTGTGGTGAAGTAATTAACATTAATTATCGATTATTAGGAACAGGGGAAGAGTAATGGAGGTGGGGATGGGGCTGCAGCACAAGGAGCGGCTGAGGAAGTTGGGGTGTGCAGCCTGGAGTAAAGGAGGCTCGGAGAGAGCCCGGAGCCCTGCCAGGGCCTGGAGGGATGGGATGGAGAGGGACTGGGGACAAGGGATGGAGGGACAGGACACAGGGAATGGCTTCCACTGCCAGAGGGCAGGGATGGATGGGATCTGGGAAGGAATTCCTGGCTGTGAGGGTGGGCAGGCCCTGGCACAGCTGTGGCTGCCCCTGGATCCCTGGCAGTGCCCAAGGCCAGGCTGGACAGGGCCTGGAGCACCTGGGACAGTGGGAGGTGTCCCTGCCGTGGCAGGAGGCTGAACAAAATGATCTTTAAGATCCTTCCAACCCAAGCTCTTCCATAATTCCTTCATTTTTTGTGGTGGTTGCTGTGGAGCCCCACTGGGATCAGTACCAGGCCTGGGTTGTTCAGTGTACTTGGAAATTATCTGGACAAAAAGATGGGTAGAAAGTTACTCAGGTGAGGAGGAAATAGGAGAAACTTCAGGAAAGTCTTAACAGAGTGAGAGGACTCAGGATGATGGGTGTGCAGATTAAAAAAAAAATTGAAATATGTAAACCAGTGAGGTGTTGTGCTGGTTATTCCTGCTGAGGATGGAATGCTCAGAGTTGGGTGAATCCATGAAAATAGCAGCTCAGTTTTTTACAATAGGAATCAGAACAGTCAATAAAATCTTAGAAACTTTTAAGAAACAAAAAAGTAAACAGTAAAAAAAAAAAGAGCCTTTCTTGGGTTATTTTTCATGTCTCAGCCTCTCTGATCTGCCCCATCTCCAGTAAAAAAAGATGCAACTAGAAAATGTTCCCAAAACATTGCAAGGAGCAAAGATTGTCTGAATCTCTGATTTTAAAAATTATTTATTAAGGAGCGGGGAGGTGACACAGGTATTTAAAATGCTGTGTTGTGTCTTCCCAAAAAGCAGAGTGAAAAATAAAAATACTTTATCCTGTATAGACCCTTTATTTTCCATGAAGGTTTGCTGGTTGATGCAAAGGAAGTAAATAATATAAAATTGATGTGTTTTCTGGGCAGTGTTTGCTGGGGGAGGTTCCCTGCCCTCCATGTGTTGGGACATCCCTGTGCTCACATCCTGCACACTCAGACATTCCCTGGGAGCAGCTTTGCCCTAATTAACCTCATAAATGTTTCATGAGACATGGTTTTGACTTATTTTCTGTGTGATCTCTAATTAGGTGCTTGAATGCTCCAGTAGTGTTTTTTTGCAGGGTAAAGATCCCTTCCCAGGATGAGAAGTGACCCCACAACAGGGGTGTGCTGCACGTTGATTTAATCAGAAATCTCAGAAATCCCTGCCTTGCTTGGCAGGGCAGAGTTTGTCCAGCAGCAATGCTGCTATTTTTGTGCCCTCCTTTGGGATTTGCCAGTTGTCCTTTCTGATTATTTTCTGGAGCAGAGCTTCAAGAAACCTTGCCTGGTCTATTTACTACTCCTGGTTTCTGTCTTTTCAGGTTTCTTCATCGCCAGCGGCTACAGAACCAACAAAACCCCGTCCTAAAAAAGGTTTGTTTGAAGATCTGATTGTGTTTCTTGGGCAGGTTGGTTTTAAGGTTTTTTCTGTAGTGTTTGCAGCTGTCTAGGAGGAAATAAATGTCCTCTGGGAGAAGAGGAGACTGTCTAGACTGTAATTTGCTGCGTACCAGTATTTTTCCAGGGTCTCTGTGAGCTCAGTGCTGTTTCTGGCTGATTTACCATAACCACAGCCTGTGTCATGTTTGCTTATAATCTGTGAGACTGTTTATTTTATTGTGTACTTACTTATGGGGCTGTTAATGAGTTTGATACTCATTTATCCTCTCAAATAATAACGGGTTTGTTTTGGGTTCTTCAGAATGGTGTCTTGCTCTGGAAATAATCTTGGGAAGCAAACATTCTGTCTTGTGGGGGTTTTTTACGTCACATATTCCAATATTTGAAGTGAAAGTGATATCAAATCAGGCAGGTTGTGAGTTTAATTATAGTTTATTTGCCTTTGTTTGTTTCTTTTTAATAATGAAAATGTGTTAATTCACTCAGTGCAAATTGTTGGTTTGAAATCTGAACTGGAACAGGTACAATTTCTGTTGTTGGTTTGACCAAATCCTGCTGTTTTTTGAGGAATCTGGTAAATTCTTGAGCCTCTCCTTTTCTGCTTTCCCTCATTCTTGAGGCAGGACTTGGCCTGACACACAGTGAGTGTTCTCTTCTCTGTGGCACTCCCCTTCCAGCACAGATGTGGTCACTGCAGAGCTTTTGTGCCTACCTGAGCTGAGTTTCTGGGATGGTTTTTGATAGATTCTCCCTTCTCGAGTGTGCAGAGGGCTCACAGTTCAGATTCCAATTAAGAGTATTTACCCCCAGTGCCAGAAGCAGTCCTTTTCCCTTACCTTTGCATTCAGGGAGCCTCAGTGGTGAGCACAGCCCCTTGGCCATTTTCTGCCCTGGTATTCCTTGGGATGCAGCCTGCCTTGGGATAATGCTGCCAGTAAGAAGGAGTTTGACTGGCAGCTGGGCACTGCAGTGACATTCTGCCTAACTGGGTTCTTTGTCCTGCAGGCCTTGGGAAGCTGGAAAAACCACTTTGCTTTTGGGGAGCTCAGGCCAACCTCACATAGTCCCAATTCCTGGTAGGAATTCCAGCCCTTGAGCAGAGTGTGGCTGGCCTGGAGATGGGGCTTGGCTCAGCACGAGCCCAGGCCTCTTTGGGAACATTGCTACTGCTTCAGGCCTGCATGGAAGTAAAAATAACTCCCAAATTTACTTTTATCTTGACCCTCAACTCTTTCAGAGCAAGGATTGCTCTAAAATTACTCTGAATTGGTTACTTTGAGGCAATTAGTCTGACTTCCATGGAGGCACTGATGGGCTCCCTGGTGAGCTATTTCATCTCTATCCTTTCCTATAAAGGTTATGACTCCCATCTCATCCTCCAGAACCCCCACCCTGCTCTGCCTCCTTGTGCAAGTCCCATTTATTTGTGGCTCTGGATCTCCCTTTTATAATGACACAACCCTTGGCTCCAAGTAAACTATGATGATTTTTGAAAAATCCTCTAGCCCATGACTTTTGTAATTCACTTTTCTGTCCTTTAAGGTAAATTGAGGCATCTCCAGGCCTGGCACACCTCGGGTTGTTCTGACTGAAATGCCTTCAAAGCCTTTGGGCTTTGCCATTTAATATTTGACTTCAGTGCAGCTGGGAAAGCTGATTTGAGCTGCCTGGTCGTTAATCTCTGGGAAATGAGGGCAGCAAAAAGATTTGTACTTGGAGTGATGTAACAGTGTCCTCTGTGTGTGGGTGGGTGGGGGACTGGGGGCATGAAGAAGAGGAGGAGGGAGAACGAAGGGATGTTGGATATTTTTTTGTGGAATTTGGCAGGAAAGAGCAGCATCTATTTCCCATGACAGCTGCGTTTTTTTAATCGAATATTTGTAGACCATCTTAATTAAATATCTCATCCTATTTTAGTTTGGCTGAGGAGAATTACAATGAACTTTAGGAGCCAGGCTACATCAGTGCTGTTTGAACAGAAGAATGCTGCTAAACTTATTTTAAACTGGCATTTTAAACATTGAATGACCACTTTCTGTTGCAACAAATTGCCTTTTTATATTTGCATTGTGTTTTCGAGCAGGATAAAGCTTCAGTGTCAGTGTTTTCTCTGGCAAGAGAGATCCTGAACTCAACGTTAGCACAAACAGGTCTGTGAAATGCAGAGACCATATGAACAGTTTGGTGTGGGTAAAATTTGTGCCCAAATGGAGCAATAATGGATGAAGTGGTTGCACACAGGTGTAGCAGAGTGGGACCAAGTCATTGCTGAGGCCCTGTGTTAACCATCACAGTGCTGCATTCAGCCTGTTCGGGTTGTCAGGGTTTGTGCTGGGCAGGAGTGAGGCATTAAATGTGTGTTTCTGAGCATGGAGTCTCAAATTTGCCAAAAATCATTGGAATGACAAAATACACACGTGCAGGTGCTAGCTTTAGCCAGAAGGCCACATTTTCAGTGATGCAGGTCTGATATATTGAACCTGAATTGAGTAGCTTCCCCTCACTGTTCTTGCTTTCCAGTGGATGTATTGAACCTGAACTGAGTTGTTTCCCCTCACTGTTCTTGCTTTCCTCCCATGATCCTCCCTGTGAGCCAAGAAAAGGTGGAACCTACAACTAATGTTCAGCAAGTGGGTTGTTGGCTCTTGGAAGGATAACGTTGAGTTTGGAGGTGGAATTTGCTCGTGAAGTATCTGATCCATCATGTGGCTGTTGGGCTGCCAAAGCCTGAAAGTTGGGATTTGGGAGCCTGGCTTGTGGGCAGGCCAGCCCTGAGGGAAGAGGATGAGTGTTCAGCAAGGTTCTGCAGCAGATGGTGTTGGTGGAATCAGGTTTGAAATCCCTCCATGCAATGATCTGAATTAATGGCATGGGTGGAGGTGACTCCCTCCAAGTATCTTGTGGCCACCCTTGGTGACAATTGTCCCTCAGCAGCTGACACAGGAGTAGCATTCATTATTTTGTCCTTTATCCCCTGTTGGCAGAGCTGCTCCCAAAATCAGTTCCCTTTGTTGCTCCATCCATAGCTCTCCCTCTGTTGATCCCCAAGCAACTGAGGGTGGAATAAATAAATTCAAGCTCTGTTCCTTGAAGTGATAAGGAGTTAATGTCAGTCTGCTGAAGTGGGGTTTTAATCTCTCTCCTGCATTCTAAATTAATCAGATATTTTCCTAAATGCTTTACTGGTTTGGAATTGAGATAGGCTGTCTCCCATCTTCTCACTTTCTTTTCCTATGCAGGCAAATAAAATAATTTTATAGGATCTGATAGTACTGGAGTGGAGAAGTGCTTTTACCAGCTTGTATTGTTGGTTTTTATGGAACATAACTCAAATTTATTTCCCTTTATTGTGAAAAAAATGTTTCGAAAGTAAGTTCTGAGCTCGTGTTTGTCTAATAACAGTTCAGAGGTTAATGGGACAATTTGAAATGCATTTGGATTTCTACATGAATATGAGACCTCAGACTTTCTGAGATGCACTGATGGTGTTTTAATGACAAGGTAGAATCCTAAATATGTACACAGTATAATAAACTCACTGAAGCAAAATTGATTTTGCTTGAATCACTGGGAAGAACTTGTCCTAAAAATCCATTAATCTGTCAAGAATGAGAATTCTGAATTGTCATCAACCACCTCTACACTTACCACAGGAAGGGTCAGGTAAATAATTTTCAAAATGAAAATCCTGCAAAACTATTAGCAGACATCAAGTGTTCTCCCTGGCCTGGGCATTGGGGTATTTTTTGGATGCTTTGTAGGAATGTTTTTTCTAGGGTTTGAAGGAAGGATTTATCTGTGACCTTTGGCAAAATGCTCTGGCTTTTGTTGCTTTCCATTTATCAACCACAAGCTTGGCCTAATATTCAGTGACAGGTTTTGGATGCTGCAGGCTTTTGGTTAACAAAACATTTGGAGACATGAAAAGTATCATATAAATGGATATATTACAGTGCACTGCTTGGTCTGTTGGGTGGTGGCTCTGGTTAGGAAGTGCCAATAAACAATCTCCAAATGTGGCTCTTAGTAATGCTAATAAATATTAATGCAATAAATAATAATAAATAATGCTCAGATTATGCAGAAATAAATAAGTGGTTTTTGATGAGCTGTCCTGTCTCTCTCTGGGTGGCACTTGCTTGCCAGATGAACCAGTGGGGATCCCTCCTGCTCCTGCAGATGTTTTAAGGGGTTCTGTGAGTGTTTAATCTGAAGAGCAGGAACTCTTTACCCCGTGGAGTCGATTCCGTGCACTTGCAGTGCTGATCATTTCTGAATTTCTGATACAGTTTCTTAAATCAATATAAATCCATTCTTTGAGCTGGCTTCAAAGCTGCCTTTGAACTTGTAAGAGTGAAGCTGCCTGAGAAATCCAGATAAAAACAACCCCCTTGAGTTAAATTAATTAATACTTCTAAGTGTGTCAGAAAGAAAAGGCCTTAGTGGGAATGTCGTGGTCGGAGGGAGCCAATCCAGCCCTTATCTCTCCATACCCATTCACTTCCATTTGGCCACATGCAAGCCAAGATCTTTTAGTCCATTTGAACCCCCAACCTTGTGGGAAGAAATTGGTTCCTAAATAAGCTAGATTAGTTGGTAATTACATCATTGTTTTATGTAAGAGACTTGGGTATTTCCATCTCGCCGATAAGTGGGGAGCAGCGAGTGCTGTGTGTGATGCTCAGGATCTGATGCAGCTGCTGGTTTTGAGTAGTGAGATTAAAAAATGGATTATCATTTCTGGGTAATTAAATTCTATAATATCCTTCACTTCATCCTCTTCTTCCCAGAATAACAGCCCAGTAATCCCTGCACTGCAAAGAACTGGTAATATTTAAATTGGGATGTGCTAGCACAGCTCTGCCCTCTTGTGTGTGTACATTAATATCTGTGCTGACAGGAGCAGGGAATCCTTTGCAGACAGCACAACAGGGAACATTTTAGTGCCAGTTATTAAAACAGGTACATTCATT